CCGTAAAATTAAAAATATCAAATCTACTCAAGTAAAAGTATTAAAGTACCAGTTTAAAAATGTACTTAAAGAGTAAAAAGTAAAAGTACTTCATTAAGATTTTGAGTTCTAATAAAACTGTAGAGATGTTGATAAAAGTGTTGAATTTTGTTTAATAGAAACAGTTGTATTGATTTTTATTTATATATTTTTTTACTTTTATTTTTATTATTATTATTATTTTTTGTTTGCTCAAACTATGAATATGTTCAACTTGAACCCCTCAGGATTTTCAGCACATCTCAGGGAATAATAAACATTTTAGTTTAGGGACCACACATTAATAGCTAAGAGGTAATACATGCATCCCGAATTTCAGATTTCTGGTCATCGAGCAATGCATCCTTCAAAAAAGTGCCATGTTTTATTTCCCAGTGGGATGCATCTCTTGTCAAAGCCAGTCTTTTCAAGTCTTTTGAACCATATCACTTTTGTTTCTGGTTCTGATATTGTCATATTTTAGTTTTGGGATTCAGACATCGTAATTGTGTGGTTGTTGGACGTCCTAACAGCGGAAAACTGGCTTTAGAAGTTTGCAAACTCCATAATTGCAAAAGGGAATCAGGTCTGTGTGACTGCAAACCTCCGTTCAAACTGTTTCCCTTCCCAACGGGATTGAAAAATAGTAAAAAGCGAAGGCGATGGGCAGGATTGATCCACAGGAAGAACGAAAAAGGTAACATTTGACTGCCTAAATCAAACCGAGTTTTCAGCGAACATTTTGTAAGTGGAGCTCCAAAACAAAGCAAAACTCCGATCCCTCCCTCAACCTTGGTTATGAATTAAAAAAGTCAACGCCAAAGCAAAAGGCACCAACTGTTCACCAAGAAACACCTTCCACTGCAATCCAAAATTCGACATGCATGTATTGGTTTGTTAATTAGCTGTTACTTAGCTATTAGTTGGTATTAATCAAAGACTTATTAATGCTTATTAAGAGTTCAGTGTATGCACAATGTTACAAGTCAGATCTGTGGAGAAGTGGAACTGCTCACAATAATAATAATGCATGTTTTTATGGTAGTTTTGAGAAATAAAAACACCTGTAATTGAATAAATACAAGATATATTTGCTTGATGCCGTCGTATGAAGCATCCCAGGCAAAGCAATAACATTTCCGTGGAGAAAAGCATCTGACTGATCCTCTGCCAGAAAAGTTACACAGTGCACCTTTAAGTACGGTACTTTTATTTTCTTACCACTGCATATTTGAGTCGCCAATAGAGAAAACACGAGTGAAGCTTTTGCACCACTAATAGGAAAAGTTAGTGGTGGATAAAAGCAGTGGCCGAAATTACTGAAGTGATTTTATAGTGCATGTATCCTGAATATTTCCCCATAATGCATTGTGGTCATGGTCGTCTGGAGAGATCTGTGGAAAACACGGGCTCCGACAGAGGCTGGATTGCGTGGCGCTGGTTGGAGCATTAGAAGGCCTTAAATAAAGCCTGAAGAATGTGAGGAGACAGCAGAGAGCAGCTTAGCACCTCCTCCCAGAGTGTGAGCTGAGATATCAAATAAACACGTCGTAAAACAGGCTTACAGGGAACACGGAGACCAATTTAAACTACAGGCCTGTGATGTTCGACTGACACTTGTGGTAACTTTAGCTTGTAATCGTTTCAGTATTAAAGCTGCACTATGTAACTTAGCTGGTGTGAATATCTGTCACTTGTTTGTCTCCATAGAAATGTAGTTGCTTTCTCAAGCGGTTCCACAGTGTTTTGACTTTACTTTGATTCACTTACACTGCGTTCTTGCTGTGAGCGTCTCGTCTTACATGCAGCGTGTTGGCCTGGTTGTGCCACCTGCTCGTCTCCATAGAGATATATATGTCTCAATCAATCAGTCAAACTTTATTTATAGAGCGCTTTTCATACAAAAAAAAGCAACACAAAGCGCTTATGGAACAGACGGGGGAACATAAATGGGGGGTGCACAGACTTTTTTCCTCTACTGCCAAAATAAAAACATATCAGCATGAATACAAATCAGTGGTCCGAGGGCCAGATCTGTTAATATTTTTAAAGTTAAAAAAGTGATATTCATCAGTAGAGTTCAGTTTTAGTTATTTTCAGTGGGATAGTCTGGTATGTGCTCACTTTTATTTCTAGACAGTCTTTAAAATACATCAACTCAGCGCCCCTTTGATGGCCAAGTGGACCTCCGCGACCCCACTATGGGCCCCGCTGTTCTAGACAGAACTGATGTCTCCAGAACAGGATAGTAGGTGGTTTGGTTGGAGGAGCTGATGGCACAGACTGGCCGCTTTGCTTCCAACATTGTTCTCCAGGACAGCTGTGAGGTCATGAAGAGTTTACAATCACAAAAACTGTTATATACCGTAAATCAAATGATATGTGAAGTATAAGCAGTCTTGGGGGCTGATTGGTGCAGGCCTGTGTGCCCACTGCTCCTGAGGAGATGCCCCAGTGGCACTGAAGGATGGATCAAATGCCAGACAAAGACAAATTTCAGGACAATAACGTGAAAAAAAGGAAATCCTTTTTAAAATTATGCTTTGAGATTGTAATAAATAGTACAAGATGATGAAAGGAAATGATGATAGTGAAAATAATATTAGTTAGATATAATGACTAAAAATGTTTATTAAAAATGGGGAGAAAAAAAAGGAAGAGAGAGAGAAAATAAATTTAAATTATAAATTGGCGAAAATTTCATTATCAATGTAAGGGGGTCTAGCGGTGTGTTTATGCTGCACTACCACATTACTTTTGTTTTATTTAACTTAATTTGAGTTGATGTTTTGTATTTGTTATGGGTGTTGCTCTATGCTTTTGTATTTAGATTTTATATTGATTATTATATTTTGTTAAATGTTAAATTCTGTTGTTGTTAGTAAATAAATTTAAAAAATAAAGTGTACCTTAACCTTAACCTTATCGTTTTTATTCATTATAATGTTGCGAGAGTGAAGGAGAGAAACATGGTAGTACCACGCTTTACCCACTAACCAATAACAGATGAACCTATAATTTATTTCAAAAGTAATTTACCAAAGTCATGTTGTCTGAGGTCTGGAAAGCACGGCCAATTTGACACATTAAAAGTTGGACGGCTGTTCTAGTTTTGTTGTGTATTTAAAGTACATAGAAAAACACATAATACCTTTTCCAAGAGTCTCCCCCACACCTCCATGTTTTGTGAGAGTGGATAAGCCCACAGACAGTTTCTCCCTCTTAGCTTCAGTTTGTCATGTGACGCACTCACGGCTCTCAGGGTCACTGTAGGAGCAGACAGTGATTGTATCTGCACTGAAAAACCTGTCCTCAGCTGCTCTCTGTGGGTTATTGGGAAGAAAAAAAAAAAAACAACAAAACTATTTCCACTTCAAACTACTTTGTCAAAGGCAATTTTGTTATGTTTGTGGCTTTAACAGGTTTCACGACAAAGCCTTATTTGAGCAGACAGAAGAGAAACAGAAATACAACTTTTATATTTATCTATTGGGTATCAGTATTTCTAGAGTTCAGATGACAACACAACATTTTATAAGGTAAAATGTATATTGTTAAAATGTAAAAATTATGTTAATATAGTGAGTTTAGTCACTAACAGAAATGATCAGGTTCAAGATTTGTGATTTACCCTCAATTTTTCAGGGCAAAGTTCAATGTAATTACTTTCTACATTTTTTCTTTTATATATTATATTTAGATCCTCAAATTACCGAACCTTTGCTTTGCTGAAAAAATATTTAGTAGTTATTTAAGTTTATTTTTCTTTACTACATAATTTAATATATCTTGCCTCATGCAGTATATCTGATGCCGTCTGTATGTAGGCAGTTGTAAAAATAAAGAAAAAGAAGCACTGAATGAGAGGGTGTGTCCTTTTGACTGATAGTGTTTTAAGTCTGAAAAGAAAGACATATTTATGTGAGGGCGTGACAGTTTTTCTGGACAGAAATTAGACCTAACCCAGGTTTAAAGGTGGACTAAGTCATTTTTCTGATTGATGCTCTGCCACCAGCTTGTCTCCGTGGAGATGTCATTCCTTTAGTCCACAACAGGGCATTGAGCTTATCGATCTTGAATGTTTTAAGTCAAAGATTTCAAAAGGTTTCACGAGAAAAAGAAAAAGCCTGCATTCTTTTAGAGAAGGGTGTCAAACTCATTTCATTTAATTTATTTCTTTGTTTGAGCCAGGTACAACAAAATTCAAAAACAATAACAAAAATAGTAATATATACATGACATATTTGGGACCTGGTGCTCAAAAGGAGTAGGAGGAAGTTTAAAAAAACCTATGGAGTCCTACCCCATTTGTCAAACTCAAATTCACAGAGAGCCAAAATTTAAAACTGGGACTAAGTCATGGGCCAAACTAAATATTTATTGGAAAATTTAAACAACATCAGCATGTTTTCTCTTCTTTTGAGATATGTAAATGTTTAATAATAGTTTTGCTTAAACACTGAATCCAGAACAAGCGTAATATAAAATAACAACTACATTTTAAATAAATAATGTCTTTATAGCTGATCTGTAGACACCTGACCTGTAATTTATCTTGGATTGATCAGTAATATTTGTCTGTCAAAATGATCTGTTTCCCCTTATGATGTTATGAAGGAATAATTTTCAAGTTAACAACTATTTCTTACCTTTTGTTCAGACGAGATCACCAATTCCAGAGCTGAAATCTTCCTAATGTTTCTATTGAAAATTTATGGAGTTTAAAAACACAGTGGAGCGCTTCCTCATGCAATACCAAATGACATCACTAGGTGGAACAGAGTGTTTTCTGTTTGTGAGAAGAGCACAGCCTAAATATGCAGGTTTTGTGTGTTAAACGTGTGTGAATGAATCAAAACACAACAAGTGTATTTCCGATGAAGGAAACAGCATTATAATCTGGGCCCATTAAAGTTGTACACTTCCTTTAATAAACTTTAATTAATAACATTAATAAGTAATAATGACATGAAGCCAAAGACTGTGGATTACCTCAATGCCTTTATTGCTATTTGTGAGTCAATGGTACAAAGTTTCAGGTGTCATCCAGTTGTTTTTGCCCATTCTGAGACTCTGGGAGTGGTTACAAAGATACAGAAAGTGACAGTTGCATTGGCTTAGCTCTACACAAACAGCAAGTGTCTGGTTAAACATACACATAAATGAGAAACTTCCAAGACTGTAAAAAAAAAGAAGAAAAAAAAAGGCATTATGATACCTCTGTAATAAAAAAACAAAACAAAGTCACATTAAATTAACTATAAAGGTTTTGGTCCCGCCCCCTGCTCTTTCAGGAGCCAATGGAATGTGATTGTCAAAGTTGAGAAATAAATTTTAATACCCGGAAAATTATTCACAGATTAAAAAAATGTGAGGTGCATAACGTAAATTGGAATGTTCTGGAAGTGAAACACAAATATCAAAAACACATCTCTGAACGCTGAGCTATTAACTGTTGCAACTGCAATAAAGGCCAATGAAAAACATAGTGGTGAATCCTCATGTGGTTTAATGATTTACTGTATGTTTATGTAAGCACCTTGAACCAACTGAGCAAGTGAGTATAGAAGCAAGAGGAATGTTACAGGCTCACTAAGTACACATACATGTATTTAAAGGTGTACTGTGTAACTTTTCTGGTGGTCATCTGCTTGTTTCTGTGGGATGTGGCCACACCGGCGTGTCAAACCCTCGTCAGCTAAGCAGGGCAGACACTTCACCCACATTGTCTAATATGAGTGAGTGATTCATGGTGGTCAGGGGGTAGTTTGCGCAGACTGGCAGCCTCCTGTCAGTCTGCCTCAGGGCAACTGTGGCTACAGTAGAAGTTTACCACCACCAGAACCATCACTCCATTCCACCGGTAAGTAAATGAGAAATGCACAGTAAAGCACTTTGAGAAAGCGCTATATAAATCAAACGATTTAATAATTAATTAATCTGCCTGGAATGTTCCACAGTATGGTATTAAATTACTCTATCATGCATTTATTTAATTACAAATTATTTAAAACATTTTTTTATAATTTTTTTGTTTTATTGCTAAATACCTTGTGTAAACTTTCTCATGGCATCACTCCACATTTGACCTGTAACTTGGCCTGGTGGCACCAGCCGCAGGTCTCCAAGGAGACAGTTTAATGCCGTACTGTGGAACATGGGTAAAGTAATCCTCCATGGATACAAGCATCTTCAAGGCAATCTTATAACATCACTTAAAATACATTTGAACTTATATTGTACTGTATAATGTGTATTTGAGCTTGAACTTGTAGCGTGAGGCTGGTACAGGGCGTTTTCCCATCAGTGATCATAACTGCCAGTCTATGCTGTTGATAGAAATAATGCGACTGAAATGACAGATTATGAAATAAAATGATGCATAAACATGGTGTGGACAGAGCTGAAGAACCTGCAGATTTAAAGCAGCAAAGGCACCGTGTGCACTGGTTTCAATAGGAATGTTTGAAGATGATCAAACAAGTACAAAAGCTACAAAAATGCTTGTAATAGAAAAGACACTCAATAAAAACATAAATAAAATGTTGTCAAAGATAATAAAGTCATATTGGCCTTCTGCTCGTCGTAGCTCCAATCCCTCCCAAAAGAACTGCCTTTTGGTCAATAGTTTCTGAATATAAAAAGCAAATACTTTTGAGTACAAAGATGTTATAAGGATACATTTATAAAACATCACATGTGCTAACATATATTACTCAGACCATGGCTGGACTATAAAAGTGAATTCAGCTAATCTCTAGAAGTGCTTACATTTCTAACCTGAACTGGTGAACACTGAATAAAAGCAACGTGTGAAGCTTCTGCTTAAATATAAATAAATCAGAGATGGAACTTAACTGTCTCAGAGGGAAGAGCTCTCTTTTTTTTTTTTTTTGTATGTAGACATTAAAGCCTTTAATGCACTAGTCTGTCAGTGAGGACTACGACTACTTTATTAGTTTTGTTCCTGGCAGGATTTCTCTTACAAAAGTCCAAATTTCACAGCATTCATTTATTTTTCTTTTAGAAAACATGACTCATGGTGCAAAGGCACATGCGGTGGCAGCTGCTTGGACAGCGCCGGGGCAGGCTCTGTCCCTCTGTGTTGGGGGTCCCACTTTGGGATGGGGTCGATATTTGGTCTGGAGACAAAGGAGGAGGAGGAGGCTTGGATTGTCGTGGTCCCCAGGAGCTCCTTCAGACATTAGTGTCCCATTCCTGCGGAGAGAGAGATCTATATCATAAACACATCATAACGAACACGTGCTTGCACCGGTCACGCTACAATCTGCAAAACCTGCCCAAGAACAGAAGAAGCAACAGCATGTCTGAATTAATGCTGTGTCTGCTGTAATGAGAAGGTCTTGGGCTCTTTTTATTCTTTTATCCTATTTTGATCAGCACAGTGGGGCACTTTCATATTTTATAATGACTATGATATTTTATTGTCTGTGTTTGTTATTTCAGTGACTTATGTATTGATGCCAACTCCAGCTGCAAAACAATTCTTCAGTTCTAAATAAACCTGAACCTCCCCTTGGTGAATTGAAATAACAAAATGGTGGAGATTAGGGGGCACTAAGGGGATAAGAAACATTATCTTTTTAGGTTCTAGGTCCAAAAACTTCTATTCTTCAAAATAATAACATTGTTGTATATAAATCAGCACACTTTATTTACTAGAGTTTGTATTTTTGCAGCAGTATTGTCCCAGATTTGAGCTCATTCCAGCATCTACCAGACACATCTCCATGGATGCTCTTGGTCATTTTTCAACATTGGTCATATTGTTTATTTGAGCTACTACTTTTAGCTTAAGGCTGGTTTAACATGAATTTCCTTCTCCAAAATGACTCTTGCTGTCGATGCTGTTCATGTAAATAATGCAAGAAACAACTGGATTTAAGACAGAAAGTGCAGGTGACAAATCTTTTATTTCTTAAATTGAGTATTTCTGTGTGGGGTTGTCAAAAGTTGTTGATACTAAAACTAGTTCTGAAAAGAGCAGGCACTGATACTGAAAAAGTCACATTCACAGGACAGAAATGAACCTTTCCTTGAATAACTTTAGATCAGTGTTTCCCAAACTTTTTTCTGGGGACCCATATTTTAAAAGTCACAAACCTTCGCCACCCAAGTCAATAGACATTATTCATAAATCACAAAATAAAAGTGGATTTGACCATTATTGAACATTAATGAGGATATTTTATTGTTGACTGAGTGATCGTGTCTCTCTGAACAATTAGTATTACTCAAGTTTTAAACAATGTAAAACAGTAACTGAACCAGTAATAAAAGGATCCATAAGTCGCCTATTTGGACTTCAAATGCAGCCTATTTCTTTCTCTTTTCAACATTCAATTGAACCAGCAACATTGGAAAAAAATACTCAATAAAATAATTTAAAAGAAAATTAAAATTAAAAAGATTAGAAATCATACAAAAATGTCCTAACATTTCAACATTTCTTATGAGATAGTTGGGCCTGTCTGCATTTTTGTAGCGCGTATCAGTCCAGGTTGCAGGATTCAGGCATTCAGTCTGTTTCAGTGCTTAAGTCTCCATTTTTGTGAGCACAGAAAATCCCAATTCACACATATATGTAGTAGAGAAAGGAATAAGCATATAAATTCTGTCCCTGCTGAGGACAGGATATTCTGACAAAATGCTTCTCCAGAATGTTAATAATATATTCACTGACTCACTCGCTCTCTCATGTGTCAGAACTGTATATTACAGACATACATGCAGATTGTGACAAGCCAGGCTGGCGCCACCTAGTGCCTCCACTCAATTTAATTTCTCTCCAGCGACTAGGTCAGGAATCGGACTACACTAGACAGTTCGCAAAAACCCCAGAAGTGCGAGTCCGGGCACCAGCCAATCAGCGAAGAGGCATAAATTCTGTGTTGGCAACGATTCCCGAGATCGAGGATTTAAAGCCGGAACAAAGAAAATGTTTGGTGAAATTTATCAAAAGGAAAGACGTTATTGCCCTTCTTCCTACAGGATTTGAGAAAAGCTTAATATAGCAGTTAACCCAGTTAGCGGCGCATTACATACGTCATGACCAAATAACAGCGATTGGTTAAATGAAATAAGTACCCGCCTACCGTTGAGCGAATGAATCCTAATGCTGCGAGGTCAGGCTAGATCATGACAAGGAAATTCCCCAAAAAATCTCTTGCAACCCACCTCTGAGTCGCGACCCAGTCTTTGGGAAACAGTGCTTTAGACTATACACCCATGGACAACTCTGGAACCTACCTGGATCACTGAGGGAACACCATATGGTAATAACAAAGGAAAGTAGTTTGATTTAATGTTGAAAATCAGCTTAATGTCAAGAAGAAAGAGTGTTTTTATTATCATTGTGGTATCAGAATCATTACTGAGCATTGTGTCTATTTCTAAGTATCAAAAGTTTGAAGTTTCGTATCGTGACAACACTATTTCTATGTCAGCTTTCTCCCAAATTTGAGCCCATTTCTGCAGCTCCTAGACACCTCAAAGCTTTGCCATATTGTGAGTCACACCCCGATGTCGCACTAATCTACAACAACACACCAGCTATTACCGTGACAACGCAGTCTGGCTGTTGGGACGGCCCCAGACACCGCGAGTGACAGGCGGCTGGCCATGTGCACACAAGTGGAAAAGCTCTAATATCTCAGAGCTGTTAAAACGGCTACACACTGGGTTTATTGGCGCCAAATTGCTATGGGCAGGCTGATGTATATGATGCAGACATACGCGCCACTCTTCAAGGCTCACTTCACCCATATTCACGCTCCGTTGGGACCAAGGGAGGAAGACGGCACCACTCAAACCTCATTTAAAAGTATGAAGCAGGTTCTGAGTGGTTCCTGGAGAGAGGAGCCCCGGTTGATAAACAGTAAGGCTACATTGGCTGGAGTGGCTGTACTTGAGAGAATTTTAAACAAGTTCTTCAAAGTAGATTTGGCACCAGATAGACCCCACTTCTTCCCTCTAAAAGCAGTTTGAGGATACTTTACCAAAACTAGGGCAAGGTACTCGGAAAGTGTATTGCGAAGGGTGCGAAGTTAAGGACTACTAACCCCAAATGATGCTAAACAGTGGTTGTACTTGAGAGAATTTAAAACAAGTTCTTCTGACTAGTTGGGCTCTCCTAATTCACTCTAAAAATAGTGAAGAATACTTGGACTGAAAATCAAAAACTAATACTACAAAGGGTTCAAAGTTGAAGCTGATCTGAGCGTTTATCCATGTTATAGTTGTTTGCCTTCTCATTTATCTTCTCAAAGTTGTATTTGGAGTGATTCGTGCATGTTTGAGTAATCTTTAATCGCTTTTTTTCAAAACACCATATTGCTGATCAACCCCCTGTTTTCAGCACTACTGGCGTACGCTCACTGCTCTGTGCTTACTTCGTTCTCCAATCTTACTTTCTTAAATCGATGACACGTGTAGGATTCAGCATCTTTGTGTAGTAATTTTGGTACAAATGAAAATCAGCGACCGATGCTCCACAGATAACTACATAGCAATCTCAAGCACAGCATGTTTTCTACAACTGATTTGATTGAATTTTGTAGTGTATTGCATTGTACTGAAACAATATTTTTGGTTTTGAAAACAAATTTTAATGTATGAATTAACTTTTCATAACTCTTGTCTTGATCAATACTGGTATAGGTAATGTATATGGCACTGTTCAAATATTAGCAGAAAATAGGTACCGTAATTTCCGAACAATAATATACTTTTTTCTCACACTTTGAACCCTGCGTCTTATACAACTATGTGGCTAATATATGGACGAATTCTTTGTTTGGCACATTGTCCATTCATATATACGGTCTATGGTTTGGCAACACAGTGGATGCGAGCGCAGCCTGAGTGCAGAAAACGCAGCTGTCTGTGCGTCGAACACATAAAACATGGGTTCATATGAAGGTGCAGCGTTTGCTAGAGATGTTATTGCTGCACTAAAACAGTTTATAGTCGTGTGATAAAATAAGTTATGATGCTAAATGAACATTAGTGAGGGGGATATGTCTTGGAGGCACAAATGATGAGAAGAAACTTCCCAAATTTCAGTAGCCGGACATCCACTCAAACCTGATTGATAGAACTAGCCCCGTCCCCGAGAGAGTCTGAAATCTGCTGAAATCCTACAAGACGCTGACATGATACAGACAAGACAGAGGCTCTTTCTGCAGTAGACATGCGCAGTAGAATACGGGGAGAGGAGATGTGCTGAGGAAGATGCTCATTTGATTGTGTTTTGAACAGTTATTTTGCGCTTCATGCACACACCCTCCTCATGAAAAACACACAAAGAAATGCAGTTGATGCAGCTTTTAAGTTAAAGCCAATTGATGTGGCTGTTGAAGAAGGAAAAAGAGCTGCTGCACGTGAGCTCGACATCAGTGAGTCGATGGCGAGACTTTGGAGACGGGAGTATGACGAACTGACACAATGCAAAAAGACGACAAAAGCTTTCAGAGGCGATTATAGCAGACAGCCCGAACTTGAAAACGCTCTTGAAGATGTGGACACCTGCGGCTTATATTCAGGTGCGGCCTATATATGTACGATTTTAAGATTTAGTTACAATTTAGTTGATGCTGCTTATATTCAGGTGTGCTCAATAGTCCGGAAATTACGGTAAATCTAAAGATGCACCGTGCAACTTAGTGGAGGCGGCCGCTACTGCTGGAGGTGTAATTGCTTGTCTGTAGTTTTCCACTGTGTAACTTTAAACAGATCTGTGGAGACTGTTATGCAGAACAATACTGGATTACTCAAACATGCACAAATCAATCAAAATACAACTCAATGTAAGCTCATTAAAGTTAACTGTCCATAATATGTCTATTCCAACACCATTACACTAATATTATCTGAAAATCTCATATTCTATCACCCATAATTGCTGCTAACATATTAACAATTGTACTTTCTAATGAGGAGCTGACCATATGGTCCTAATACATTTCTCCACTGCTCGTCATTTCCATTTTTACCTTCACTAATGAACGCAGCTCTCCTCTACGCCTGAGAAAACTCGGGTCTAGTGCAGAATCCAATTAGACCAAAAGTAACTGCCTGGAGTTATTTTCTACTGCCAACCTCTGAACTCTAAAGTGCCCCCAGACTCTGAAATATCTCAGTATAAAACTAGAAGTAAATAGCAGGGTGCAGTGAAAAGTCAAAAGGATTATTAACACTGGGAAAGCTGTTTCTTGGCTCTGTAGTGTTGTAAAGGGGAAGTTGTGTTAGTGAATTTTGTTATTCTAGAGAATGTCAGTCATTTTGGGTCATCTGTTCAGGGGTTTCGGAATGATTAAAAATGAGGATGATTGAGGGCGATTAACAAGTTAAAACAAGATATATTTCAAGCAAGTCGGGCATGTTTTAAAGGGAATCATTTGTATTTGGCGTGTTCAAAGACTGAATTCTTGGTTGAAACTTCAGCCAAGCCACTGGGACGAGTTAAAACTGAATATACAGCACTGTAAAAAAACAACATGGAGCTTTTATACCCGATAATTACTATATAAGCTTATTGTTCAATATATGAAAGCTGGAACAATATTTTCTGGGGCTCAGTGTTTATTGTAGGTATATATTTTTTGCAAAAAGGGGAAGATTTTTGTTATTTTTGGGGTAATACAATAACATTTGAGCTGTAGAGAATTGAATAAGTAACTTTTAAGGCAAATTTTTGCTTAATTTTGCCATTTGTTTGTTACAACTCATGTCTTTTAATGATTGTCAACTGAAAAATGATTAACTGGGATTATCTCGCTTTATTTGAATTGTACCAGTCTAGTCCAATTTTACCAATACCAGACCAAAACTAAACCAAGACTAAACAAGGTCTAAACCAGAACTGAACCACGTCTAAATCAGGACTAAACCAGGACTGAACCAGGACTGAACCAGGGCTAAACCAGTTCTAAACCAGGTCTAAACCATGTCTAAACCAGGTCTAAACCAGAACCGAACCAGGATTTAACCAGGTCTAAGCCAGGATGAAAGCAGGACTAAACCGGTCTCAGTCCTGGTCTCAGTCCTGGTCTCACTCCTGGTCTCACTCCTGGTCTCAGTCGTGGTCTCAGTCCTGATCTTAGTCCCGGTCTCAATTCTGGTCTGGTCTTGGTCTCAGTCTTGATTTAGGCTCGGTCTGGTCCTGATCTTAGTCCCGGTCTCAGTCCCGGCCTTGGTCTCAATCCTGGTCTCAATCCTCATCTGGTCCCAGTCCGGTCCTGGTCTCAGTCTGAGTCTCAATCCTGGTCTCAGTTCTGGTCCAGTTTTTTTCATTTTGGTTTTAGAGACAAATAATTGTTGTTGTTGTTGTTGTAAAAATTGTTGTTTTATCGTTTTCAAATTTTTGGTTTTATTTTGAAAAACGAATGAACGAATGATACACGGATTCTTACCCTTCACCAGAAAAGTTACACAGTTCACCTTTTAAAATGTTTTTTGACTGAACAACACATAGGCCTGTTTACAATCACACTACATTACAATTACAAAGCCCGTGAAGATTCATCTGTGTAAAAATGTTTATTAACTTTTGAGCTACGACCAAACACGGGCCTTAACCTCTCCCCTGCAATCTCTCTCGGGTTTAACCTGTGCCAAATCTGCGGGAATCTACTTCAAAACTCCTTGATATAATATGCTGTGAAATCCAATAGAGGGAAAACCTGCCCATAGCTGTCTCTGGTGCAAATGCATAAAAATGACAGAACACTACAGAGCCAAAGCCAAGACCAGCCAACAGCCTTGAATCTTGTTGATAAATTGCATTATGCTGTGCCCGTACACCAGATGTCTCTCCAGCACAGAACTGAATATACAAGCCCAATCTGATGTAGTCTGAGCTGCCATGACTTACCATTGGCGACTGACTTGCTCTCCCCTCTGCCCGCCTCCTACGAAAACAAAAACAATATTAATAATGTTCAACCAAAATGAAATGGCTGTGTGAGTAATTGGCTGTATAAATGTCCATAGTTGAGAATGGAAAAATTAGAAGAGCAAATATATTGATTGTACCAGTTAAAAGTTTGGACTCACACTCTCATTCGTTCTTTTTTCTTACCACTGTTTATATTTTTCCTGGGGTTGGGGCTCGAATGCGAGCGCCTGGTGGCCGGGCCTTTGCCCACGGGGCCCGGCCGGGCTCAGCCCGAAAGGACGACGTGGGTCCACCCTCCTGTGGGCTCACCACCCGCAGAGGGGTTCATAGGGGTCGGGTGCATAGAGGACTGGGCGGCGGTCGGGAACGGGTGTCCCGACGGCCTGGTCCGCACACACAGCATCTGGCTGTGGCGACATGGAATGTCACCTCGCTGGGGGGGAAGGAGCCCGAGCTTGTGCGGGAGGTTGAGAGATAGCGGCTAGATATAGTCGGGCTCACTTCTACGCACAGCTTGGGCTCTGGTACCCAACTCCTTGAAGGGGGTTGGACCCTCCATTTCTCTGGCGTTGCCCACGGGGAGCGGCGGCGAGCTGGTGTGGGCTTGCTTATAGCCCCACAGCTCAGCCGCCACGTGTTGGAGTTTACCCCGGTGAACGAGAGGGTCGTGTCCCTGCGCCTTCGGGTCGGGGACAGGTCTCTCACTGTGGTGTCGGCCTACGGGCCGAACAGCAGTGCTGAGTACCCGGCCTTCTTGGAGTCCCTGGGAGGGGTACTGGACAGTGCACCGACTGGGGACTCCGTTGTTCTACTGGGGGACTTCAACGCCCACGTGGGCAACGCCAGTGACACCTGGAGAGGGGTGATCGGGAGGAACAGCCTCCCCGATCTGAACCCGAGCGGTGTTTTGTTATTGGACTTCTGTGCTAGTCACAGTTTGTCCATAACAAACACCATGTTCGAGCACAAGGGTGTCCATAAGTGCACGTGGCACCAGGACACCCTAGGTCGGAGGTCGATGATCGACTTTGTCGTCGTGTCATCTGACCTCCAGCCGCGTGTCTTGGACACTCGGGTGAAGAGAGGGGCTGAGCTGTCAACCGATCACCACCTGGTTGTGAGTTGGATCCGCTGGCGGAGGAGGAAGCCGGAGGGACCTGGCAGGCCCAAGCGTATTGTGAGGGTCTGTTGGGAACGTCTGGCAGAGCCCTCTGTCAGGGGGATCTTCAACTCACACCTCCGGGAGGACTTCTCCCAGATTCCGGGGGAGGCTGGAGACATGGAGTCCGAGTGGGCTATGTTCTCAGCCTCCATTGCCAATGCGGCCGCTCGTAGATGTGGGCGTAAGGTCTGTGGTGCCTGTCGCGGCGGCAATCCCCGAACCCGGTGGTGGACACCGGAAGTAAGGGATGCCGTCAGGCTGAAGAAGGAGTCCTATCGGGCCTTGCTAGCTCATGGGACTCCTGAGCGGGCCAAGCGTGCTGCAGCCCGTGCGGTCGCAGAGGCAAAAACTCGAAGCTGGGAGGAGTTCGGGGAGGCCATGGAGGAGGACTATCGGACGGCCTCAAAGTAATTCTGGCAAACCGTCCGGCGCCTCAGGAGGGGAAAGCAGTTCTTCACCAACACTGTTTACAGTGCGGGGGGAGAGCTGCTGACCTCGACTGGGGATGTTGTCGGGCGGTGGAAGGAATACTTTGAGGATCTCCTCAATCCCACCGTCACGTCTTCCGAGGAGGAAGCAGAGGCTGGAGACTCAGAGGTGGACTCATCCATCACCCTGGCTGAAGTCACCGAGGTGGTTGGCAAACTCCTTGGTGGCAAGGCTCCGGGGGTGGATGAGATCCGTCCTGAGTATCTTAAGTCTCTGGATGTTGTGGGGCTGTCTTGGCTGACACGCCTCTGCAACATCGCGTGGCGGTTGGGGACAGTGCCTCTGGACTGGCAAACCGGGGTGGTGGTCCCTCTGTATAAGAAGGGGGACCGGAGGGTGTGTTCCAACTATAGGGGGATCACACTTCTCAGCCTTCCCGGTAAGGTCTATGCCAGGGTACTGGAGAGGAGAATCCGGCCGATAGTCGAACCTCGGATTCAGGAGGAGCAGTGTGGTTTTCGTCCTGGCCGTGGAACACTGGACCAGCTCTACACTCTCCATAGGGTGCTCGAGGGTTCATGGGAGTTTGCCCAACCAGTGGACTTGGAGAAGGCATTCGACCGTGTCCCTCGTGGTGTCCTGTGGGGGGTGCTCTGGGAGTATGGGGTCCGGGGCCCTTTGCTAAGGGCTGTCCGGTCCCTGTATGACCGGAGCAGGAGCTGTGTTCGCATTGCCGGCAGTAAGTCAGACCTGTTCCCGGTGCATGTTGGACTCCGCCAGGGCTGCCCTTTGTCACCGGTTCTGTTCATTGTGTTTATGGACAGAATTTCTAGGCGCAGTCAGGGGTCGGAGGGGGTCCGGTTTGGGGACCACAGGATCTCATCTCTGCTGTTCGCAGATGATGTTGTCCTGATGGCTTCATCGAACCAGGACCTGCAATGTGCACTGGGGCGGTTTGCAGCCGAGTGTGAAGAGGCTGGGATGAAGATCAGCTCCTCCAAATCCGAGGCCATGGTTCTCAACCGGAAAAAGGTGGCTTGCCCTCTCCGGGTGGGTGGAGAGTCCTTGCCTCAAGTGGAGGAGTTCAAGTATCTCGGGGTCTTGTTCACGAGTGAGGGGAGGATGGAGCGTGAGATTGACAGGCGGATCGGTGCAGCGTCGGCAGTGATGCGGTCGCTGTATCGGACCGTTGTGGTGAAGAGAGAGCTGAGTCGAAAGGCGAAGCTCTCGATTTACCGGTCAATCTACGTTCCTACTCTCACCTATGGTCATGAGCTCTGGGTAATGACCGAAAGGATGAGATTGCGGATACAAGCGGCCGGAATGAGTTTCCTCCACAGGGTGGCTGGGCGCTCCCTTAGAGATAGGGTGAGGAGCTCAGTCACACGGGAGGAGCTCGGAGTAGAGCCGCTGCTCCTCCACGTTGAGAGGAGCCAGTTGAGGTGGCTCGGGCATCTGTTTCGGATGCCTCCTGGACGCCTCCCTCAGGAGGTGTTCTGGGCATGTCCCACCGGGAGGAGGCCACGAGGAAGACCCAGGACACGCTGGAGGGACTATGTCTCTCGGCTGGCCTGGGAACGTCTCGGGATCCCCCTGGAAGAGCTGGAGGACGTGTGTGTGGAGAGGGAAGTCTGGGAGGCCCTCCTCAGACTGTTGCCCCCGCGACCCGACCTTGGATAAGCGGAAGAAAATGGATGGATGGATGTTTATATTTTATATCAAGCATGTCCAAACTATGGCCCGTGGACCAAATGCGGCCCTCAGACAAATTTTTCCTGGCCCTTAGGCTTCCAGGTGAATTGGCCCAAATTACACTGCATCAATAAAAAATTAAGTTTGAAAATCTGCTTTGATAAAGCTAATATTTAATTGTCATTTTAATGTGTTAAACATGCACATATTTCAATTATTCACTGTATTCAGCACCAGTCTATGGCCCTCGATCAGCCCTCTGCTTCATCTGTGTTTACATATGTGGCACTTGATGAAAATAGTTTGGACACCCCTGTTCTAGATACATACAGAAGACGTCAAATATATGAAGCAGGATATATGGAATTATTTAGTGAAGAATAAAAGTTTGACAAAAATCAACACTGGGTTTGAATAACTGGCTGTATAAATGTTCATATATGGGAGTTGCACAATTAGAATAACAAATATATTGATTATAATAAACATATTTCAAAAAGGTTGAAAAGAGCTCTTTACAAACAAAAATACTTAAGGTATGAATTGATATTTCTGCATTTTTGTGGTTTACTCTCAACTCTTTAACATAAACAAAGAGGACCTTTTTAGCACGTTTCTGATTGCAGTCATATTAAAGAAAATAAATGCTGTTTTCAGTCTCTGCATTGGTATCAGTTGATCTCAGGTAACAACAGATGCTTAAAGCCATAGTATCAGAATCGGTATCAGAACTGAAAAAGGTGGATCAGTGATAGTGGTGATAATAATTGTGATTAAACATTCAAACTAAGTGGGACAGAAGGTACGTTCAGACTGCAGGGCTTTACGCTCAATTCAGATTTTTTGTGAAATCCAATTTTTTGCGAGTTCGTTCACATTTCCAGTTAAATGCGACCTGGATGTGATCTCCAATGTGAACTTTAAACACCCCAAAAGTGTCCTGCATGCGCATCTGGAGATTTTAAAGTTGCTGTCGTATCGGAGCCAGGAACATGTACAGCTTATTTGTATTAAGGGGGAGATTGAGAAGGAGAAGGACAAGGTTTTGGCCATGGCGGTTTGTGGGGCAATCGGCAGCAACGTCCGTAGAAAGGAACATGGGGTTCGAAGTCGCAGAGTGATGGGATTGTGATGTGCTTCACTGCTTCACTGACACGGAGTTTGTAAGCAAATTTGTATGACGAGAAGAACGTTGGTGTACATTTTTGACGTGTAGGTGGGATGAATGCGACCTGGCCGTTCAGACTGAAGTCGCATGTACAAAGATCAGATATGTATCAGTTTTAGGAGCACATATCCAAGTGACCTGGGTCGCATTTGAAAAAATCTGATCTGTGACGTTCAGACTGTCATTAAAAGATCAGATACAGGTCACATAGGGGCGAAAAAATCAGATTTGGGTCACTTCAGGCTGCAGTCTGAAAGTAGCCAGAGTGACTTGGTGAAACACTATTGTTTTTCCCATTAGGTCTGTTTAAAGAACATTAAAGCTCCAATAGTGATGTGCCAAACAAAGCCAGTGACAGGAGGCCTTTGCAACAAGCACTTTCAGGCTCTAGTTGGACAATGTTTAGTATTCAGTAAGACTTAAATAGTAAAGCACAGATATCTTTATTTCTATTGGTTTTACATTGTTTAGGTAACATGAGTGAAACTTAAAGGAGCCATTACACTACTTTTTCATGTATATTATGTTTCCTCATCAAAAATATACCTGGAGTTGGGTTTTGTTTCCTTCACATGTTTAACACACAGTTATTTAGCATATTTAGCCCGAGTTCTTCTCTCATACTGAAAACACTGTTCCACCTTGTGATGTCATGTGGTGATACAGGAAGTGCTCCATGCCGTACAACTTCACTAAAATCATTTGGATCATTTCAGCCCTGTAATTGCCAATTTGCTCTCTACTGATGAAAATGTGAAAGGTACTATAGCTGATAACAGAAAAAGTACCACTTCATGAGCTCACAAGGTGAAACAGAGCACTTTGAGCTTTGGAGATGTAGACTAGTGGGTTGTTGCAGTGTTCCTAAAGCCCAATTTTAAGGGCAAAGTTTAGTTCAACTTAACGCACACTACCACCATTGGTTTGTTGTCATTGTTTTTGACTCATGGGTCTGCGTCGTGGTTTATGCACCGCCAAGTTATTTACAACGGTAGGAGGCAAGGATGTAAACCTGGCGATAGAAGCACAGAACAGACTCACCATCAGCAGCACATCCTATGTCACAGAAAGAACACACATGTTCCACTGAGTCGTGTCCTTTAGTCTGACAGAAGTTGACCGCATCAGCGACACTAGGAGTGAGCTGTGTTCTTTAAGCTTATAGGTTATGTAAATTAGCCATGTGTTTTTCAGTTTTGTTTCTGTAAAATGTAAACAAATATGCGGAAACGGTCCAGCGTTAAATCGTCAGTGCAGGACTCTGGTATGATGCAAGTTTCTGTGATGTTTGCAAATGTTTATGTGCACTACAACTTGATTTGAAAAAAATCATGAATGAAATCGAAATCTCAATATCTGCCAGAAAAATTGCGATTCAATTTTTTCTTAAAATCGTTCAGTGCTAATGTACATAGACTAATAATAAAAGATTAAGCAAACCTGTGTGAATGAAACAAAACACAACTCTCCAAGTATGTTTTTGAGGAGGCAACATTGACATTGCTTAACGCTTACAAGAGTCAATTTTGTGCAATATTGGACCTTTAACAAATAAAATGAAATAAAGTGAGGTAGTCTACGGCAGCCATAAAAACACTCAAATAATTGTAGTTTCACAAATATTGAGCTGTAAGTTTTTGTGGTTTAAATGTTGATATAGTGTGTCCAACTAAAGCAGCTCTGGCAGGAAAGCAAGCCAAAAGACAAACATGGCAACCGAGCAAGGGCAAAGCTATAACAACCCTGAATTACTGGATAAAATGATTTTCCTTTGCCCGACAAGTGGTGATATGCTTTTATACAAGAGTGGTGCTGAATGATCTTGGAGGAATATTGATTTGCAATTATTATGACTTTGTGGTAAGATTTGAGAATTCTGTTCAAAGTTCACATTTTAAACTTGTCCAGAGGCATTAAAATCTGAAAGAAGACTGAAATATGAGCTGCTGAACTAATACAAGAATTACATGTATTTCAAAACATGTTTGTGAAGGTTTGAACTACAGGGTTAGTAATTGTTTTTAAAAAATAATGAGACAGCATATTTTGTTGTTTAGAGAATAAATTATTTATAATCACCGTATTTTTCGGACTATAATTCACACTTTTTTTCTTGGTTTGGGTGATCCTGTGACTTATACTCCGGTGCGACTAATATATTTAAATTTTCACACTGACAGCTGTGAGAGGCTCTAGGCTTGTGTGTCTGCTGCTCCATTTACTCCTGTACCACTGTCACTTTGGTCTACTGCGCATGTCTCCTGCAGAAATGGCCTCTGTCCTGCTGCAAGTAGTGAAATATGCAGCCGAAAAAGGTAATGGAGCAGCAGAAAGAAAGTTTGGAGTGAGTGAGAAAACTGTGAGGGACTGGTGGAAAGCGGATGGAGAACACAGCTTCATGGTAACCAGGTGGATGCGCCATGAAACTTTCCTGGAAGTCATTGGATGGATCGACAAAGCCTGGACTTCAGTGACAACCCAAACCATCCTGTTGGGATTCAGAAAGGCCTGAGTCTGACAACAGCTATGCAGAAGAGGAAGCGGCGCTCCGTTTACCTCCGGAGGTCGCGGAATTGCTCAGAAGTGACACAGAGGATGAAGAATTCAATGGATTTAGTGATTTGGAGTGAGTTCAAGAGTTTGGTAACCTTGTTCTGTTGTTTATGTTATAGTTATCTGAATAATTGTTCATATGTGACATGAACAGTCTGTTCTCTATTCTGTTGTTTTTATTATAACTCGCCTCTCAAGATGAAATGTCGGTTCCTGGTCTCTGATTTTATAAAATAAATTTCTCCCAAAAAGTGCCACTTACAGTCTGATGTGACTTATATATGTTTTTTTCTTCTTCATTACGCATTTTTAGCCAGTGCGACTTATACTCTGGTGCGACTTATAGTCTGAAAAATACAGTGCTGTCATTGTGACTTGCTAATTTAGAATAACACAGAATATGAAGCACCACTTTATAGGCTTAATTAGTCTTAATAAAACATGAACAAAGTAGTAATCATGCATGTTTGATCAATCTTTGATCACTTATTTTTAAGACACCATTTTGTCACGCCCACTGCTCTGTACTTACTTCATTCTCCAATTTTAAATTCTAACTCCATTTGGGTATCATATTTTTCTAACGAGGAAGTTTCTTATTTTTATTAAGTAATTTCAATATGCAAAATATGCAAATTGTAACATAATGATCCATGGTGTCATATATTACAGCTATAAAGCTCACAAGCACACTATGTCTTCTTTAAGAGGTTAGGGGGATAATTAAAGTGTAGTTATTATAAAGTGTTACTCAGTTTTTAGTCGATAATATATTCTGCAGCCCTGGTTAAGAACAATGCAGTCAAATCCAACCAAGGTTACATTCCATTGTTCATTTTTAACCTTGTATTAACTGTGATAGCCTCAAAAGTGCAAGAATTTTACTTTAACTTTTAAAGGGCCCATATTTTGCCTTTTTCTGATATGTTATAATGTTATTTCCTTGTCTCAAAAAACCTGGAGTTGTGTTTTGTTTCATTCACACATGTTTAACACAAAAACCCTGCACATTTAGGCTGTCTCTATACACCATCACTAGAATAATTTGGATCTGTTTGACCCTGGAATTGCCGACAAAAGGTAAAATGGTAGCTGCTAATGTGAAAACTATCACTACATGGCATCATTAGTTGGATTAGTGCATTTTGAGCTTTGGAGATGTAGACAAAATAGTAATGAAGGGTTGCTCAACCTTGTGAATGAAACAAAACACAAATCTGTGTACGTTTTTGATGAGATAACTAAGGCGGCCAACGGGGGCCAATCGCACTGCAATGGCCCAATGCGTGTCAGCTTCAAGTATAAAAACGATGCAAATTCACAAACTCAAACACAAGTTTAAACGAGACACAAACAAAGAACGTGGTGCAAATGAAAAAAAAGCTCTGCAAGAAACAAAGACAAATGTATCATCAACAAATACGCAACAAAGAATACTGGCTCTAATGTCCCCCTGGCTTGAAAGTCCCAGCTCGAATGGCCCATGGTGCTCCCATCTCTTACGTGGCATTTGGGTAACTGCTGTGCTTGGGAGAGGGGGAATGTTCTTGCCGGCCTTTAGTCGGCCGTGTCAGGCACTGTGACGTACTGAGTTAGAAAATCAGCTTCTATATCATAATAAAATGAAATGTGAATATAGCGAGACCAAATGTCGGGCTTTACTATGAAATCTTATTTTAAATAATTTTTTCTTGTTCTTGTTTCTTATTAGAATTATGGTTTCAGTTGTCACTGAAGTCCAGGCTTTGTCGATTGAACCAGTGACTTCCAGGAAAGTTGCAAAGTGCACCCTCTCGGTTACCATGAAGCTGTGTTCTCCATCCCTGCCTTTCGCCAGACCCTCAAAAGTTTCTCACTCAGTCCAAACTTTCTTTCTGCTGCTCGATTACCATTTTTGCCTGAATATTTCACTACTTGCAGCAAAGCAGCGGCTCTTTCTGCAGGAGACATGCGCAGTAGAGGCAAGTGACAGTAGTACAGGAGTAATAGGAGTAGCAGATACTGACACACAAGCTTAGAGCGCCTTCTTGCAGCTGTCAGTGTGAAAATTTTAATATTTAAGTTACACCAGAGTTTAAGTTGCAGGAAACACCCAAACCCTGAAAAAAGTGTGACTTATAGTCTGAAAAATACAGTAATTTTACACAAACGTTGTTTTTCACTGAACCCTATAGAATCAATGTGAAATATATCATTACACAGCTCTCAAGAGTCAATTTTGCGTAATATAGGACTTTTAACTTTCAAAAAAAAATGGCAAAGTGTAAGACCAGAGCAGAATCAGCCTTGAAGCAGCATTTTTACCTCTCTCTTTTTCCAGATTTGATGTCAACTAGCTACAAGTTCTTTAAAAGACAAACACAGAAAGAGATACAGACTTATTATTACGAAATGTTATTCTGTCTGCGGCTCTATCAGGAACATTAGCATTTGACTGACAGCAGATGGAGAGAAACCACAGGTGCAGGGTCCAATACCAAAACCATCTGGCATAATTATCAGCATTACCTGGACTCAGAAGAGTGTGTGTGTAAAACTACTCTAAATTTCCTTCCAAGAGAGAATGGCACTTAAACTAATACACACAGATTAAGTGTATTTCATAGATGGGTGGTTTTTAAGCAGTGGAAGAAGTTCTGAAAGTAGCAGTAACAGTAGTGCAGTGGTAAAAGAAAATATAATGCCACTATTACTGAAACATGTACAACGTGTCCCAGACACTGCTGACACAGGGAGTTTATATCTTACTGGGACTTACCAAGTTTACTACTTACTACTACTGCTACTACTACAACTACTACTACTACTACTGCTACTACTACAACTACTGCTACTACTGCTGCTACTGCTACTGCTACTGCTGCTACTACTACTACTACTACTACTGCTACTGCTACTGCTACTGCTGCTACTACTACTACTACTACTACTACTACTACTACTACTACTACTACTACTACTACTACTACTACTACTACTACTACTACTACTACTACTACTACTGCTACTGTACTACTACTGCTGCTGCTACTACTGTCACTGCTACTACTACTGCTACTACTACCGCCACTACTGCTGTTACTACTACTTCTGCTACTTCTGCTACTACTACTACTACTACTACTACTACTACTACTACTACTAACTACAACAACTACTATTACTACAAACTACTACTACTGCTACCACTATTACAACTATTACTATTACTACTAACTACAACTACTACTATTACTACCAACTACTACCACTACTACCACTACTAACTACAATTACTATTACTATTATCTATTCATGATATGATGCTACTACTTCTACTACAAATACCGCTGATGCAACTACTACAAGCTATTACTATTGCCTCTAGTACTACTGCCGTCACTACAACTGCTACCACCACTACTATTAGTACTTATACTACTACTTATACTAGTTAAAATACTGTGGCTTAAGGGCTCAACAAAATAATAAAGTACTGCTTTTGTACTATTATTGGGTTATTACTTACAAGAATTAATTCAAAATGTTTGCGTTTGCCTATGCAGTTTTTGTGAACAATGTCCTGTAGTAATTTTCTACCTGTAAATAAAAAGTTCTTTACCTTGGCTGGAGAGGCTTTGTTTTCCCATAGACTCCTCTTGTTGGTGACGTCAACTGGCTTCAGGTCCTGTTAAAATAAAGCACAAATAAATAACTGTGATCAAAGTGTGTACAATTTGTCTATTTGAAAATATATCATTGTCGTAATATTATAGATTCTGGGGAAGAAGATGACGGAGGTGGACAAAACAGCACTAAGCAAAGAGAGAGTTGTTATTTTCAAGTGGAAAATAGTGCACTCTACACGCTCTGTTGCAAGGTAATATATTTTTGAGTGAAATTTAGGGACTTGTTATACTGCAAATAGCAACGATTTATGGCGTATGATTTCTCCTATTTGAGCTTAAAGAGGAAATGAAATAAGAACCCGTAGTTTAAAGTGTGACTCAATACAAAACGCCTATGGAATTTTAAACGTTCGACACAAAATGGATTCCTGTGAGCTATAAGTCATGTTATAATGCTGTTACCTCGTCAAAAACAGACTTGGAGTTGTGTTGTGTTTCATTCATGTTTTAGTAAGACTTTATTATAAGTCTGTCTACACCACCAAAGCTCAAAACACTTGGTTGCACATGGTTTTCAAGTTGATAGCTCCTGTTTACCTTTATGGTCCTGTCACACCAGTGTATGTCAATGTACCAGAATTTCCCTAAAATGCTGATATATGCTGAACTATCAATGTTTTGTTTTTGTTTTTTTCATCACGAGTTGGATGTATACATAATGTATTAGTAACTTATATAGAACATTTTGATAACTTATATATAACTTATACCAGAGGTGGAGTCACTATTTTTGGACTTGAGACTTGACTTGATAAAATGGACTAAGACTTGGGACTCAACTACAACTTGAAAGGTCAGTGACTTGGGACTTGACTCGGACTCTACATACTCCACTTTCTACAACTCTACATACTCTATACATACTCATATATAAATATACTATGATATTTTAAGTATAATTTATCTTAAAAGTCATATAAATTGCAAAAATCTAAGCTATGTTTGGTACTTTTTTGGATTTAAAGACTTGAAATGACTTGAAGCTCAAAGCAGATGACTTGGACTTGACTTGAACTTATGGGCCAGTGACTCGAGATTCCGACTTGGACTTGCCTGTATTTAACTTGGGACTTGAGGTCAAAGACTTGAGACTTACTTGAGACTTGCAAAACAAAGACTTGGTCCCAACTCTGACTTATACCAACTAATGCTTAGCATATTGCCAGTGTCCACAATGACAGTCTAACTTATGCATAGCACATGGCAGCGTATCGACAATTCATAACTGTACTAGACATCGCAGTAGCAAGATTAATCAGTGTGATCTCTTCTTCTCCTGGCTCTATTGGCACGCAACTGGTACAGTGACAAATCGATGAGATCATGCTGATGTTGGAGGAGAGCTAGTATGTATTCTCGTCATATTTAGAAACACGTTCAATAAGTTCTGTGCATACGCTGGCTAAATCGTCACGGTATGACAGCCCCTTTAGTTCAGTAGAGATTGGAAATTTCAGGGCTGAAATGACCCAAATGATTCAAGTGAAGGTGTATTGCATTTAAAAACACAGTGGAAGCACTTCCTGTGTTACCACATGACATCACAATGTGGAACAGAGTGTTTTCTGTTTGAGAGAAGAACTCATCTTAAATATGCAGGATTTGTGCGTTAAACATGTGAATGAAACAAAACACAACTCACAAAAAAAGGTCTGTTTGTGATGAGGAAAGATTAAAACATAGATCAGAAAACAGCCTAACATGGATCTTTTCAAACAAGTAAACGTTGCTCTGCCTGGGAAGATTTCACATAGACATTTGTCTGGGTTAAAGTGTAGGTAGGAGTGGAGTGAGGCATGATGCACTGGCACGAGTCCAAGCTCATGAGTATGGGAGAAGCATAAAACACAAATTATGATAAACGAAAATGCTTAAGTGACATTTTCTACCAAACATTTGCCAAATCTGCAATCACGGCTCAGTGCTGCGTGAGGATGTTATGACAGCAGTAATGGTTGATGTTAAACTACGTAAAAGCACTGGACCGCGTGGACAAGAGGACGCTCCAGTCGATGCAGTAGGGGAATGTAACGAGGTAAAAGCAGTAAAGTGCAGTACTTAAAGGTGCATTATGTAACTTTTCTGGTGGAGAGTATGACACTTTTTTTGTTAAGGGCAGAGGTGGGACCAAGTCTCAAGTAAGTCTGAACTTTGACCTCAAGACCGAGTCAAGTCCCAAAGTCAAATACAGGCAAGTCCAAGTCGAGTCTCGAGTCACTGGCCCATAAGTCCAAGTCAAGTCCAAGTCGTCTGCTTTGAGCCTCAAGTCATTTCATGTCTTTAAACCAAAGTATCAAATATAGCTTAGATTTTTGCAATTTATATTATTTATAAGCTAAATTGTACTTAAATAGGTGTAAATGATATATTAATATATGAGTATTTATATTTATAAGAGTTTTAAAAATTGATATTTTTTCTTTTTAAGTGTCTTGACAAGATCTTAGTGTGACTCATTATGAGTCGAATAGAAATAATGCAGATTTAAAAGTACTTAAGTACAGTTATTTTATCATGTAGTCTGCACTGAAATGGAAGGATCAGGTTCTTTGTAGTTCCCTCTGTTTTACTGCATTGTACTTTACATTACTTTAGTACATTTAAGGACACCATCTCACAGTACTTCAGTTACATCCAAAGTAATAAACAGAAGTGGGAGCGACATGTTCCAGTTTTTTCCTGTAAAATTAAGCACTGCCTGAATCTACTGAAAAGAGAAAAGTATTTAAAAAAAAAATTTTTTTTTTTTTTTTTAAGAGAAGCATCAAGTCTTCTCAAGTCACAGGGCTCAAATCCCAAGTCACTGACCTTCAAGTCCAAGTCGAGTCCCAAGTCTTCGTCCATTTTCTCAAGTTAAGTCTCAAGTACTAAAAACAGGGACTCAAGTCCAAGCCGTGACTTGCAAGTCCCCACCTCTGGTTAAGGGAGATGTTATTGCTTGGTATGTTCCACAGTATGGCATTAAAAGTCTATGAAGCCTTTGTTTCATTAGAGGTGATTTTAGGAGCATGCATTCTTGTGTGAGCGGTGAACTAATCTGGACCTTTGCCTGCTTGACTCCATGGCGACAGATAAGTTTAATGCCTTACTCTGAGTTTGAGTAAAAAAAATACACAAATAAAAATAGCTAGAATTCATTTTTGTTGAATTGTGTTGAACAAAATTCAGTAAATTTGAAGCTTTATGAGATCTCAAAATCTGCATTAAATACTTTAACTTTTTACGATTTAAGTACTTTTTCTAACAGGTACTTTAAAACTTTTTGTATTTTTAGTATATTTTCATGTGATACTTTTATTTACTTTTTTTTTTTTGCTATTTTTTCTTAAATAACAAAATCAAGTATTTCTTCCACCACTTACTAGATGGCGCCAGACAGATAACGTCACATAAACATGCAGAAGATGAAGAATAATACACTGTTTTACTTTCTGATTGCAACTATTTACCAAACTGTTATTTAAAGCATTACAACAATCATTAAACTATGTGGTGTCATCGGTCAAGTCTGTGAGAATGCCCTTATATGGTAATCAGTGCATAAATATATTTGAAACATTTGAAACATGGCTACATAACTTGTACTTAACTAGGTATTTAAGTGATAAGATAAGACGATTAATGCTCTCTTTAGGAAAACTATATACATTACGCCATAGGAGGAAGAAATAGGGCTATACAAACAAGTCTGAGGAGCAGTGATTAATTTTAACTTGACTACACAGACAGTATGAGGGGGAAACTGTCCTATACTAACGCAAATAAATCATAATCTAAAAGCTATTTGGGAAACTGGAAGAGGCGGTAATACGAAGAAGCAGTAGAAGTAGAAGTTAGCTGTAGTAGTTGTAGTAGTTATTTGTACTGGTTGGACATGATTTAGTTACGGAAGTTAGGAGTAGAAAACATTTTTAAGCATACAATACTTTGCCTCAAATAAAATACTGACAACTATTTTTGATAGTCCAACGAGGTTCATTTTTTCTTCCAATATTTTATGTTATTAGGTTCTTTTTTTAGACCAAGAGTTTGAGAAAACAATATCAACACACCAGTGAAACAGTACAGAAAACTCAGCCAATTTCTCGTCCACCCAAAAGATAAAATAAAACCGGAGCATAAATGTAATGTTCTATACAAAATATCCTGCATATCCTGCAATAAAACATACATCGAGGAAACAGGGACAGTGTTCAGTTCAAGAGAAAAGGAACATAGGACAGAATGCGAGAAGAAAAAAGCGAAGGTGAAACACAAAGCAGAACAGGAACAACTAAAATCAGCCATTTCTGCCCACTGTAAAAGAGAGAAGCACATTGTGGACTGGGACGGAGCAAACATCATTGAGACAGAGGAAAACAAACATGTTGTTGGATTAAAGAGGCAATTGAAATATGTGTCCACAGGCTGATAAACTGGGACGAGGGGCTTTTTTACTCTCATACACCTGGGATACTGTCCTGAGGAGGTCGGACTGCAGATGGCGCTGTCGTCCTGCCTCCACTGGTAGGAAGACAGTGCCAAAACCTGTTTAAATCAGCTGACCATCACGTGACCACTCTGAAGAAGACCGCTAGTGAGCAGTTGAAATTGTCAGGTATGAAAACAAACTCTTGGTCTGAAAAAATAACCTAATAACATAACTATTTTTGATGATTATAATAATGATATGGCAATGTGTTAAAACGTGTCTGTAAATGTCTTGGATTATTAAAATAACAAGAATTTATAAGCTTGATCGGAAGATTACACCCCGATTTTCATGTTTATTGGAGGAAAGTACTCAATTTTGCTACTTAAGTAAAAGTACAGAAGCCAGAACAAAATAATGTAAAGAAATAAAAATAAAAGTATCACATGAAAAAATCTCATTCAGTAAAAGTATTACAGTACCTGTTTAAAAATGTACTTAAAGAGTAAAAAGTAAACGTATTTTACACAGTATTTTCATCTTCGTATTTTGCACAGATTTTGAGATCTAATAAAGTTTCAAACTGAGTGATTTTGATAAAGATTCATGCTGAATTTTCTTCAACAGAAACAAGTGAACTGATGTTTTGTTCTGTTTTTCTCCTCAAACAACAAATATGTAAAATAAAGCCTCAGACTATTCAGAAGGTTTCAAACAATAATAAAAATACTTTTACTTTTCAGTCCTGTTCAGAAATGTAGTGGAGTAGAAAGTACAGATACCTGCTCTCAAATGTAGTGAAGTAAAAGTATCCAGATCAAAATGTACTTAAGTAAAGTACAGGCACGTAAAATGTGAACTTAAGTTCAGTACTTTACTATTTTTTACTTCATTACATTCTACCACTGCTCACCTAAGTATATAGTTTTAATGATAGTACATTTTCTAAGTACTTTTGTGAGTGTATTTCTATATTATCTGGCAGTAGCAGTACTATTAGTTGAGTACATATGGTATATCTGTGTATCTGTGTGTAGGTCTGTGTACTCGCAGCTCACCGTGGGTCTGCCTCCTGCCGTTTTGCTCTCGGGGGTTTTATTCAGCCAGTCGTTGATGCGGCCCGCCACGCCTGTCTTCATCACAGCTGCTTCCTGTTTGGATAAGGTCAGAGGTCAGCTTAGCCCTGTCGTCATCGGCAACTGGGTCAGGCAGGAAGCGTCAGAGAATCGGGCTCTTTCCTCTGTCAGAGTGTTTATGTGTGGAACGAGCGGTACATGTTGTGCTATACAATGTCCACAGTACATATACATACACAGTATACGTAACTCTAGGGATCTGGGCCATAGATACTGTCAGTGTGAGAAGTTTGAACTGTTTCCCCTGTGTACAGTGTCATTTCAAAATGTAAAGTGATAATAATATGAGTAAAGTGCATTTACCCCTTACTCTATAAGCACCATAGACTGTATATATCAGTGTTTCTTCTTTTTTTCTGGGGACCCATATTTTAAAAGTCACATAAACATCAACAATCACAAACCAAGTCAATATAAGTCGGGCATTATTCGTAAATCACAAAATAAATATGGATTTGACCATTATTAAACATTAATGAGGATATATTATTGTTGACTTAGTGATCATGTCTCTCTGTCATTGAACCAGCAATAAAAAGGATCCATAAGTCACCTATTTGGACATTAAATGCAGCAAATTTCTTTTTCTTTATGTTCAATTGAAACAGCAATATTGGAACAAAATAGTTAATAAAATAATTACCGTATTTTTCGGACTATAAGGCACACCGGATTATAAGATGCAATATCAATAATGTTGAATTCTCTTGTCTATTTTCATTAAGGCGCATTAAGTGAAACAAATGGACAACACTTGAGAGTGAGCCCAGGCTTCCACAATCCACTGGCAGATTGTGGCGTAATTCACCAGGTGTTGCCTCCCTGTATTGGTGAATGTGTATTATAAATATGAATGTGGTTGGATAATTTTATTTATTTTTTTACAAGGAGGACTCAAATATACAATGAGTTATGTGTTTAATGCAGCTTTGCACACATTTCTTTATATTTTACAGAAACGAAACTTAAAACCACATGGCTAATTTGCATGAACTATAAGCACTGAAAAAAAAGCTCTCTCCTTGTGCGCTGATGCGGTTCAGCTTCTGTCGGACTAAAGGACACGTGAATATAGGTGTTCTTTTTGCGACAGAGGATGTGCGTCTGACGGTGAGGCTATTCTGTGCTTCTATTGCGTTGGAGATGGTTCATGTGAAACTTTTCAGAGATTATAAATCTGAAGGTCATAGGTATAGACGATATAGCGGTGCAGCTTCGCTTACCAAAGTCTTACTAAAACATTTTGACAGATTTTTGAGCGCCGTGTACTACATAAAACCGGTTCGAGGTCAGTAAGCACACTCAGATTTAATACATAAGATGCACCAGATTATAAAGCGCACTGCTGATTTTTGAGAAAGTTAAAGGATTTTAATTGCGTCTTATAGTTCAAAAATATGGTACAAAAAGACATAAAGAGAAATTATACAAAACATTTCTTAACATTTCAATATTTCTAAAGAGATAGGTGGGCCTGTCTGCGTTTTTGTAGCTCGTTCCAGTCCAGGCCGCAGGAGGAATGTGCAACACGCATATCAGGCGTATAGGTAGAATTCAATATTCCAGACCTACATGCAGATTGTGTCAAGGCGACCCGAAAAAATCTCTTGCGACCCACCTGAGGGTCACGACCTAGTCTTTGGGAAACAATGGTATATATAAATGGACATATATCCGCTGTGTTCCAAATAGGAAGTGAGCATAGGGAGCATCGATCCCATTTGATTTAACATCAAAAACCTGTATTAAAATGTTCCTATTAATCCGCTCTACATGATCCTGGTGTTTTTATTTAGCTATTTTGTGCATAAATAAATTCCTATTCTTAATATAAAACTGGGCTCGCTTTTATAACTGCCAGCCTCAGTGAGCCTCATTTGACTGGAGCTGAACGCTAAGGTGAAATCACACTGCCTTAGTCCACTTCTTTATACAGTCTGTGGTGCGCTCTCACTGTAATACTAAAACCAGGACGCCTGCATCTTTTAGAGTGCGATGAATTATGATAGTTAGGTGTCACTGAGCAAAGTAGGCATAATTGTCTATTGGCAAAATGTCTTGTGAATCTTAAAAACTTATGTTAATTAGAACAATAAAACACATAAAAGATTAGGAAAGGTACACGCACTGTTAATTTATGGTGTAATAAAGTTTAGCACCTCTGTCTCACACCAAGAAAGGCTTAGCAATAGACTGCAGAAGGTTTTACTGTGTGGGGTTTGTATGTTTTCCTGGTGAGTACTCCAGTTTTTCCCATAAACATTAAACAACTGATACTTTGCGGCTGGTGTCGTTAAAGTTTCCTGGGGGTGTGATGCTAACTGAAGGCTCTGCTCTGTCTCAGGCTCTAAGACTTTAATACTTTAAGATAAGGTGACCAGACCTATTTACCGGGACAGTCCCAGTTTTGAGCCCTATGTCCCCTGTCCCAGTGGATTTATCTAAAACTAGTGATTTGTCCCCAGTTTTAAACAAGAAATGTTCCAGGAGTCCCTATTTTTGACAAATTTGATACTTACAAACAGTAAAGAGAAGCATAAATTGACATTTGTTTAGGTAAAATACAGGAAAACTGCTTAAAAACGACCAAAACACTAAGAAAATATGACTATACTGAATCATATGTTAGTCATAAATGGTCTTTGCATAACAATTTTCCTTAAAAACACACTCGTTTCACAATTTTATTATTACCAACCACCAAAAAACTGAGGAAGTCCCAGTTTTTTATTTTGAAATTCTGGTCACCCATCTTTAAGAGTTAGTCCCTCTCAAATAAACTTACAAGCTATCTAGCATTGGCTTCAAACCTAAACACGAGCATGAACACTCGTATTTGTCAAAGGCTTCTGAAAATGTGCTGTTTGTCATTTTTCTTGAGTTTTCAGACTATCTCTGTTTATATAGACCATATATATGAGTGGACATAGCTAACACACTAGCCACCACATGCTAAATAGGAAGTGCGCTGGGAGGTCCTTGCGGCTCCTTCTGAAACTGGCTCCAATTGACTTACATTGGAATATTGTCGTCCCTCTCTGTAACTGCTGCAGTGAGCCTCGTCACTTTGGTCTTAAAATATTCGCATTTACCCGCTCTACATGATTCTGAATTTATTTTTTATTTTTTGCTTTTTTGCCCGACAAAAAAATCTAATTCATAACATAGAGCCCCAGATTCGCTCCTGTAACCGTGAGCATTGTGAGCCTCATTTGAGTGACACTGAACGCTATGGGTCACACTCGCTTAGTCCACTTCGTTTATACAGTCTATGGACACTTTTTTTTGACAGTGTGTTCTAATATGTGCATTGTGTCACCATAGTAACTACAGAAACATTCCACCACATGTAGAACACCCCCACCCTCCATTAATCTCGATCCCCCAGTACATAAACTTAAAGGTGTATTGGGTAACTTTTCTGTTGTTATGATGTTATTGGATGTTAGATATTATTGCTTTGTCCAGAATGTTCAACTATAGTCTACATTACAGGTCACATCTGCGGAGAGGCGACCCTATTCGGAGAGATAATTATTGTATTTTTGAGCAACAGAAACACTTGTAATGAATAAACGCCTGATGGATTGATGGATATATTTAAATGGAACATTCCAGGCAAAGCAACAACATCGCCATGGAGGCAAGCAAGTGACAGACTCCTCCAGAAAGGTTACGCAGTGCACCTTTGACCTGTAGTTTACCTTGAAAGTGCTGCCCCCTCCTGGAGAGCTGAACACGTTGCCCTTTTCCCACATGCTCTTGATGTTCTTGATGTCGGTGACGAGGGGCAGGTCCACAGCTCCGGAGCGAGGAGATCGAGACTCCTTATTCTCTCTCTGCGCAGAAAATCACACTTTAAATTAGTTAAAAACAGACACAGACGCGCTGATCAAAGCCCGCATACCTGTCTTTAGTGCAACAGATTTTGGAGAATTCTCACAGACTGGGTACTAATAACATAGACAGATTCATAGTGTCTTTGATATGTCTTCAAAGTGCACAGAGAAACGGTGTATTAACATTCTGCTTTGACTAGTTATGCTCAAACTTGTGAAGAAAGAATTATCATCTGCACTAAACTACACGCCAAACTAACACTAAATGGGGCGGCAGTGGTTCAGTGGGGGCGCATTACTGCTGATGTGTCCATTAGCAAGACACCATCAATATCTCATGTTGGTGAGTGCATGGATGATGGGCAGCCTCGCCTAAAGGTGCACTTTGTATAGAGTGAGCAGATTTTCAAAATAAAAAAATGGGATATCCCTGGTTTGGGGTGGTTGGTAATAATAGAACTGTGAAACAAGTACATAATTAAGGAAAATTGTTATGCACTTGACACTAATGTGACTCAGTATAGTCACATTTTCTTTGTGTTTTTGTCATTTTTAAGCAGCAAGTCATTTTAAGCAGCTTTTCTTTTCTAGCCTGATTTATCAACCGGTTTCACTTTGTGGAAACAGTCTGATCTCGCAGCATTAGAATTTGTTCGCTCGATGGTAGGCGGGTACTTTTTTCACTAAACCAATCATTTAGCAAGAATCACTGAAGTTGTAGACCATGCACCGGCCAAGCAGCGAAGAGCTGTGAAGCCATGATGTCAAACTCAAGCGTCTGCCTGGGTCCCTTTTGTGGAACAGCACAACAGTAAACAAAGCGGTCGAGATGGATGTAGACGAAGCCATACATTCTGTGTTGGCAACAATTCCCGAGATCAAGGATTTAAAGCCGAAACAAAGAGAATATTTGGTGAATTTTATCAAGGGGAAAGACATTATTGCCCTTCTTCCTACGCGATTTGGCACGTTACATACGTCCGGACCAAATAACAGCGATTGGTTAAATAAAAAAATTACCTGCTTGCTGTCGATTGAACGAATCCTAATGCTGCGAGGTCAGACTGTTTCTACAAAGTGAAACTGGCTGATGAATCAGGCTAGGGACAGGGGACACAGGGTTCAAAACTGGGACTGTCCCGGTTAAATAGATATGTCTGGTCACCCTAACTTTGTAAATTTCCGAATGTAGGGTCTGTCAAGATGGAGACGTTATAATAATAGCTTTGCCTGGAATGGTATGAAACATATCTAAAGTGTGTTTATTCAATTTTGGGTGTTTTAGAGCTCAAAAATCCCTTGAATAACATACATTCTTACTGTGAGCGAGGTCAAACTCTCCACAGACATGACCTGTAACTCTGCTTGATAGTGTCTCCTGTCTGTCTCCCCGGAGATATTCAAGTTTGGTTTCATACGATGGAACATTCTAGGCAAAGAAATAACATCTCCATACAATTTTGCGTTTAACTCTAGAAAAGGGGCTATACAAATCCAGTGCGTTATTATTATTGACCTGCAAACTAGTCTCTGAAAATATGGAGCTATATGAAGTAACCGGATTAAATGAAATTCAAATATTTATGAATAAAAAAAGAACAGTGGTACATGTTTCAAATTAAAATAAAAGATTCATACAGTGTAGGATTTGACCTTTCAAACTTTGACCTTTATAAAGTGATAGTTCTGCATTTTTGTGGTTCATTTGACAATTCCTTCACTTTTTAGGTGATTTTTGAACCTCAGCATTTACAGGAGGCATGTTTTAACACATTTCTGTTGGATTGCAAGAACATCGTGTGTATTTTATTATCTAGCCTCCAGTCTCCAGTCTCACCTGAGCAGCTGATGTGTACTGCTCCAGCCTGTTGTCTATCTTTGACACCACCGGAGAATGAGACGTCTTCACTGCACTGTGTAAAGAAGGGACAGAGATGCATTATGGGAAAAGACAGCAAGACACAAAAGAAAATGCTAAAAGAGATATAAGCTTAAACATCAGAATGACAACTGCACAAGCAAATTCTACTGAAATAATCATTTATATTGAGAATCACACTGGAACCAAGTTTGGGGAGACCATTCAGGCGCTACAGTTTTCCTCATCAATATTAACCATGACCAAAAGGCTAATCTGTCAATCTTCTAGCCAAGATCCCAGCTGGAAAAGGGATGACATGATATAAATTTTTAGTTTGTTGTTGACTATTCTGAGAAGAAACATCTAAATCACTACTGACAATTATTTATGAATATTCGTCAATACTCGTCAGTGAAATCTTGAAAGTGAAAGTACACACTAAATACACTTTTGTTTGCAAATTTTTGTTTGTCTACTGTTCCATTTTTGGTAATTTTAGTTCAAACTCTGCAACTTTGTGGTAAAAAATGTCTAAAAATTGGCGTGTCCTGGCGCCAGTAGCCATAGCCAGTTTCAGGTATTTGGTGACATCACACAGAACTGCCCTCATTACATCCAGGCGCTTTGGTCCTCCAGGTGCTGCCCAAGTTTAACAGCTCTATTTGCACTATGTATCTTTTTGGTTGGGGGTCCGTCACCTGCTTCTTTCTATGGTTAATGTCATTGCTCTGCCTAGAATGTCCCACAGTATGGCATTAAACAGCTGTACCTTACATTTATCCAATTACAGGTGGTTTTATAGCTCAAAATATCTACAAAAACAGACATTCTGACTGTGAGCGGTGGTTGTCTCTCCATAGATCTGACCTGTAACTTGATCCGGTTTGGTCTCCATGAAGATAAAAAGGTTTAATACCATACTGTGAAACATTCCAGGCAAAGCAATAACATCTGCATGGAGAAAAATATTTGATGGAACCTCCACCAGAAAAGTTACACAATGCATCTTTAATTCACTTTGATTCATAGTGCTTATATTACAAGACATTTTCAGTAGCATTATTTATATTTATTTAAAATTGAAGTATACGTTATTGAACCTCAGTGAAAATGAGGTTCATTCTGGACCAGAGGAGATCCAAAGACCTAACATAAAATAATAACACAATTTTAAATAAGTTATGTCTCTATAGCAGGGGTCTCCAACCTGTAGCTCGGGAGCTACCAGAAGCTCTCCACCCCATTCCAAGTAGCTCCCCAAGGGATTTCTGAATTATACGTATTCTGCTGAATAAGTAAAATTTTATTAATTACAACTGTACATCTACCATATTAATGCACAGTTTTGTGCACTAATAAATGAATAATGGTTTATATGTCATCTATCTAACTGTCCCTAATCTAAGGCTGTGGTTTTTATATATACTACATTTCTTGCAACTGTTAAAATTAGTAGGTGTTTGGCATTTTTGTTTTGTAAAGGGGCCCAGTCAAGCAGAAGTAAACAGCAAGGCCAAAAATTCAAGTTAATGCATCTGATATAAAAATGTACTCAACAGATACATATGTACTCTAGTTTATGAAACTGTTTACCTTTTTTCTGTACCATTTTTGGTTCTAAAGTTACATACGTATTAAACAGACCATGTATGCAACAAGGAACAAAAATTATTTCCCAAATTTCAAAGACCTGCAAATCATGTAAATAAACTGATGTATTTCATCACCTCTTGTGTTATTCGATCTTTGAACTGTTGATGAAGGTACATGATTTTTCAAAAACAAATGTATTTAAAATGATAAAAATTTGCTTGGAAGGACTGACATATTTTATAGAAATAGTTTCCTTTCATTTTGAAGTAATATTAAAGTATTCGGAAGAAAAAAGCTGAGAAATTATGCAAAATCATGCACCTTCTACTTGCTTGCACAATTTTCCCTCCGTTACTTTTCCCTCCGTTACCATGACCTTTCTTAATAAAAAATCTCATTACTCAAAAAGTAAGAGGTTTTTCAACCTAATCTTGTATCATATGGTAGAAAACTATATTAAGCAAATATTCAGTGAGAACTGGTAGTTATCGCTGTTTGTATTTATTGCCCAAAAAGTGCTGCATATTTCATTCCCTCCGTTACTGACATGAATTTTTTTATTTTTTGTCAACAACTTGAAAGAATATCACAGGTTTAACTTTACCCTGTTGGAGTGTTAACTCTTTCCTACATTCTAATACCTTACTTATTTCAATAGTCCCTCTAGTTTCTGAATAAGAGCTATTTGAATGTAAAAAATCTGCCCCTGTTTCCCTCCGTTACCGCTTGACCGGACCCAAAGGTAGCTCACCAGTGGAGAAAGGTTGGAGACCCTTGTTCTATAGTCTATCTATAGCTGGTGGGCCATCTCTAATACATATCTGATGTGATCTCGTGGGCCAAATATAACTATATCACGGGCCAAATTTGGTCCCTGGGCCTGAGTTTGACAGTTCTGCCCTAGCTGTAGCACTGTGCCTTTTGTGCATGTTTGAGATTGTCAGGGAGCATATATAGGCTCAGCAGTGTATACATTTCTATTATTTACCTTTTCTGTGCAGACTTGTTGAGGAACTCTGCCCTCTCTCCAATCTGTGGACAGAGAGAAGATTGATAAATATTACAGTGCAGCTCCACACATCCACACAGGCATTCACATAGTACATCATTGTAACACAGGCCGGCTCCTCCACCGCACTCAGACAGATGGTGCACCCAGCCACCCTCCTAATATCTCTGCTTTATTGTTTGTGAATCTACAAGGCAACAATCTGTTTCTGACTAAAGTTAATTTTACACAAATGCGCCATCATTGAGCGATCATAACATAAACTACAAACTATCCTGCCGTAATTACCACATTGCACACGCCTGGGTTTCAATGACTGGTGTCTAATGGAGTTCTTAGGTTTATAGACTTGGGGTAATTGCCTGCTCAAAGGGTAGACACATACACACACACAGAGACAGGGGCGAAACGGTAAGACGAAATCAGCGAACACATGTTTTTTATAACCCTTTAAAAGTTTATTTAAAAATTAAGGTGTTGCCATATATTTTTATTCAGCAGTTACTAACTTATTTTAGTCTAGAGGAGTTCATTTGTAGCCGTATTAACATTTTTTGAAGCAATTAACAGGTTCTGGCGTTAAAACACAAATATGATAATGACGCTGAAGGACTAATTTGCAGACAAGCACAGTAATGAAGATGTGTTTTAAAATCGAATCTTCGTTAATTAAAAGCAGGACAACTTCATTTCAATATAAGGTTTCAGGGAAATTCGTATAACCAGACAAATAAGCGTTCACATTCGAAGGGCATTGCTAATTAGGCGGCAAACAGTGCAAATAATATAGAGATGTAGAGTGTGTATAAAAATGTGCAAGTTAAAATGTCTGCCAAACTGTGTAAAACTGTGTTACAGTTGCACTGTGTAACTTTTCTGATGGAGGGTCTGCCACCTGTCTGTCTTCAGGGAGATATTATTATTATGCCTGGAATGTCCCACAGTATTGCATTAAACCTTTCTAGCTCACAATTATTTAATCACAAGTGTTTTTATTGATAAAATATCAGGGATGTAACAATAACCGAAATATTGTGATATCGTACCGTGAAAAGTCCCACAATAATATCGTGGGCTGTCACAATATATCCAATTAAATTCATGGTTTTATAATAGCAACAGCTTATAGAACTACATATCCCATGATTCATTTCAGTGCAGACAACATGAAGAGATATGTTTTTTGCTTTAATTCTTGGGATTATGATGAAAATAATCCACACCAAAATCTTGTCAAGGTATTTTAAAATCAGAAAACTGTCCCCTCTACAAGTATATTACCCTATCCAAAATATCACAATAAATATCGTACCGTGAGATACATATTGTGATAACATCAAGAGATTTGGATAACATTACATCCCTATAAAATATAACTTGTAAAATGTTCTCTGTGAGGTGCTTGTCTCCATGAAGATAGTTAAATTTAATGCCATACAGCGGAGCATTCTGGGCAAAGCAATGTCATCATTTACAGAAGCAGGTGCCGGAGCCTTGACCAGAAAAGTTAATCCTTACATAACATAAAATTCTTTCAAGATTCCATATAGTCAAGGTTGATTATGCATAATTTTATTCATCGGTTTCACTCCGTTTTTCCTATTGATCACATTGTGTTTTCATACAAAATATGCATTTAATATGTTCACAAATGTTGAATCTGATCATTTCTATTAGTGACTAGACCCAAGACGCTGCTCTCTGTATTACAACAGAAATCTGAATTTTACTTAATTTTGCTCCCCTCATCTGTAATAAATATTATTGGCTCTAGGCAAGACAAGGCATGGCAAGTTTAACTGTATAACAAAATCTGTACACAAAGTAATTCAAAGAAAGACTCACAATACAAACAAATCAAAATATAAAAGAATGTTGTGAAGTAAGAATGCACCGATATGATTCTGATATTGGATATTGGTGCTGCTACTAAAAAAAAACAACGCTGGGTGCAATATTGGCTTCCAAATATCTCACCCAGCAAGATTATTAAGATTATTAATTAGTAGGAATGTAACAATAACCAAAATATCGTGATATCGTATCGTCAAAATTCTCACAGTAATATCGTGGACCATCACAATATATTGAATTACAAGTCTCTTTGCTTAAATTAAGAGTTATGGTGGAGCAATAGATAGTTTTAGTTCTTTGGATTAAGTCTTGTCAAGACATTTTAAGAGGAAAAAGTAGCAGTTTGTTAGCTTCCACAAAATATTGCAATAAATATCGTACCGTGAGGTTCATACCATGACGATATCGCTTCGTGAGACTTGGATATCGTTACTCCCCTATTTATTAGTCATAATTGGCCCAGAAAGTCTCATGTTTGAACTTTTATTTATACAAAGTTTTTACTTGAGAGATAAAGAACAGCTACCTAAAACATCTAGACCAGTTTTATCTTATTTTATTTTTGTTTAAAGGAAATAAATGTTGTTTTCAGTCTCTGCTCTGGTATCAGCTGATATTGGGTATCAGCTGATCTTTAAAGCTGTAGTATCAGAATCGGTATTAATAAACGTAACAAAAAAATCTTGTGATTGTGATGTCCTCTGAAAGCCAACATATTCCTGAGAATGAATAAAGGTAAACAGGAAAGGAAACATCTTAAAAATTAAATCAGTTTTAACTTTTTGCCCTCCGTGTCTTGCGTGATCCTTAGAAGTACAGCCTGCTTTTCAGATCCTATTTCTGCCTCCTCACTGTGGGAATCTCAAAGGAAATGTTTATGAAATATAACAGAGCGGGCTGACAACTCAGAGCTATAAATCTGAAATAAAAAGTTAAACAGTCAAAAGAAGAAAGTGTTGTGAAAAGATCCCCTCCCTCCGGCTGTAAAACGGACTACCGAATGTGGGAGTTCCCAAAAATATTCGGACAGGAAATTCCCCATTCCCAAACACGTTTTAAGGCTGCAGCCACCCAAACACAGTTACACTAATCCTGTTAACACTAATCGCTTTCCTGCCTGTCCTTCCTATCAGTCCCTCTCTCTGTTCCCTGTCTCTATAAAATAAAAATTAGGACTGTTGCCATAACGATTAGCAATTTAAAAACGAAATATTATATCTTTTCCTCAAAACGTTGACTACAACAGGAAGCTGAAAGCCATGAATAAACCATGCTTTTTATCTGTCACATGTAGAGTTACGCTGTTTGTTGGTGATAACATGGGCCAGCTTCAGGGACAGTGTGTTCTGCTAAAAAGAGGATTACTGACGTTAAATAGTGAGGTTTTTGAATTTTGAGCGAAAAATAACAGCAGGAATGAGCTGTACACATCAAAAAGCCTATTCAGTAACACCATGGGTATGAATTGTTTGAGATAGGCTGTGAATTTGGGAATTTTGTAAATAGAAAAATCTTCAAAAAACTGTCTGTCTGTCACGATAACAACATTTTGAAGTAATATTGCTGAAGAAAATATAAAAGATAAACAATAATGAAACTAATTTATACCTCTGACACAATAATAGTGAAGCAGAATTAACCACCAAAAATGTTCTAAATGTAGAATATGGTTAAAAAAGCAGTTAGTTTGTATCTATGACGACTCATAGAAGTTATTTATTCAACCTTTCACAGCTCAAATCTAATAAAACTGAATAAATGACAAGAAGTTGCGGACAAAGAAAAAGCACCCAAAAATCATGACACATATTTACACCCCAAAATTACTGTTTCATATTCAACGATAAGTGTCATTTGGTTGAAAGGGACAAATTATGCTTTTGTATTGTATTTGTAGTGATGGTAACTGGTTTACATGTTGTGGATAAAATACAATATGGATCTAAAATGACTTAATGATAGAAATGGGTCCACTGAGTTCAGGGCTAAAACTGCAGAACTGATTCTTGCCCAGTGGCGGATTTAGCAATTTGGGGGCCCTAGCTGAACTTGAGTTTGGGGCCGTCACTATAAGGCACAGTTTTTTTAATTTTGTTTTGTTTTGCTAGGGTGACCATATTTCCATTTATCAAAACCAGGACACTGTACTGGGGTGGGAAGTGGGGCCTCATCATCGACACTGAACTACTCTCACCTGGCAAAGCTTTTTAATGTTTTTGTCTTGGTGAGCTCTGAGATCCCTGACAGCCCCACTGGACACTGAAACATATGTGCCTGCTTTGCACACTGTACACCTCCCACTTGTCCGACCAGGATGGAAAGCGGGGAATTTCTTGTACAAGTCATCGTTAAATGTGCATTTGCGCTTCGGCATGTTGCGGGCAGATCGAATAGTTGTGTCTGCTCGCTCCTTCTGAGTGTACAAAGAGCTACAAGAGCTGGTCAATTTAATGGCCCAATGAAAGGTAAGGTAAGGTAAAGGTAAAGGTAATGAAAGCCAGGACATTTCCATCACTTTATTAAAAAAAAAAAAAAAATAAATAAAAAAAACCCCGGATGGCCAGGAAAGGACGTGAAAAACGGACATGTATGGGGAAAAATGGACGTTTGGTCACTCTAGTTTGCTTTTTAAAAATATATTTATTGTCTGTTTTTCCCCGTTATTCTTGCCCCATGCCCGTCTCTTTTATTTGAATTATGGTGGATTGGAAACTTGTCTTATTAGTTAGGTCGCCTACTAGATCACCAGAACTGAAAGTAGTTTTATTTTTTTGCTAGTACAATTATATTTTTGTTTACATCCATTACATATGATTATTATTAGCAAACTACTCTCATTTAATGTCATATTGAGAGAAAATCAAATTGCTCTGAAGCCTCAACCATTAGAGGCACTGAGGGCAGTTGGTTGGGGGTTTGGGGTCCCTAAGCAGCCGCCTACTTTTGCCTAATGGTAGCGCCACCTCTGTTATTGCTGGCTGGCATCTGATTACAAAAGAAACTATTGTGAATTTAGCTGTATTGAGCAGTAGATTTTTATTCACATTGTGTTTTTTAATGTGGCTACAGAGTCTAAAACTATATTAAGAACAGTACAGTTTAAGTACAGGGTCATGGGTGGGGATATGAGACAGGTGCAAACTGAAATTTCCTCAACACTTGGATGCAA